CCGGGAATCGAACCCGAGACCTTCGCTCTGATACCATGTCAGAATCCCAGTCACTAACCACTGGGATAAAAGGGCTTGTTTATGTAGCGGGTGAGTGCGCCCATAACCCCCCAGGCCAACGTGCATGTAACCCTTCCCTAGGATCATCGGGGATCTCCAGTGGACCTCTGACAATTGAAAGCTGAAAAAAAAGGTACACAACGACGACAAGAAGCAACACGGAATGAGCGGCGTTGATCGCGCAACCCTCGGACAACATTTTATGAAAATTAAAATCTAATCGCTTACCTTACGACCACCATTGAAAGCAGAACAGCGACTTCAATGGCGCTATGCGATGATGGTGAAAGAATTACGCATCGCTCCTACCGCTAATCTCATCTAAAAAATCCCAGCTCCCAAAACCGTCCCAAAACCATCCCGCGGGAGACTTTTGGGACACATTTCACCCTCATCCCCAAAGTGTCTTTTAGGAACAACTACTGTACGGTCTGAAGAGTCTTGAATGTGTCTTGGAAGACTCTTTGGTGGGGTTGCGAAAGTGTTTCGGGGGACCGATTTGGACATCTCTGGGACATTTGTGTCCAATCACAGACCAATCACACATGTGTGACGATGGGCATATACACCATGGCTTTAAATCCCCATGTACAATTTGCTAGCTACTGCTCCTTTTGTTACATGAAATTTTTTGAAAGTGTGAAACACTTTCTAAAAATGATTATTTTGAAAGCGCAGCTGACTGTAGTGAAGCAAGGCAACAACAAATGCAAATTTCCGAGTACATAACGAGGGTTGGAGGCCATTTGGCCTCCACCCACGTCTTCATTTCGGAACTTTACAGTTCCGCTTCATTCTCGTCCAACCACTTCTTCTCTCACTCTATGCTCATTCTCACATTTTTTTTAGTACGGAGACAACGCTAGGACAAGTGCTGCAGCAGCAACGTAACTTAGTAGCTGCTACGCGCGTTAACTGCGGAGGGTACAACATCGCGCCCGCGATGCACTTGGCGTGCGCACAACCGGGAAAGAGCTGCGCATGAAGCAACGGCCACTGGCGCATCAGTGACGAAATTGCCACGTGCGCCAGTGGCGTAAGATCTTGACAAAATCGCCACTGGCGCCAGTGGCGCGCGTGTGTGGCGAAATCGCCACTTGCGCCACTGGCGCGCGTGTGTGGCGAAATCGCCACTTGCGCCATTGGCGCGCGTGTATGGCGAAATCGCCACTTGCGCCAGTGGCGCGCGTCTGTGACGAAATCGCCACGGACGAAATGGCCAGTGGCGTGGCAGTCAAGAAACTGCTATTGCCGCGCCTAAGGCGTTTGACTGGGCGTCAACCAGCAGTGCAGCACCCCATGTCACCTCACAAATTATTTCGCTGCATATAAAATTGTTGCAAAGTTCTTTTCTTTTCCTTCTTCTTCTTTCCGGTTCTAATTTCTTCTGTCATTGCCTATCAATCTTAATACTCTCTAATGGCAGGAAAACTGGCACAATATGGAAAGCCGCTGACTGAAGTCGGTCTCTTCTAGTCGCGCGCAAAAAACTGCAATGACGATGGGATCAACTGCACGCACATCAAAACGAGGGGACTGAGAGCTGCCCCCAGGGGGGGAAAGGGACCGAGGGTCCCCGAGTTGGCCTGAGAGCCGCCCCCAGGGGGGGAAAGGGACCGAGGGTCCCCTAGTTGGCCTGAGAGCCGCCCCCATGGGGGGAAGGGGACCGAGGGTCCCCGAGTTGGCCTGAGAGCCGCCCCCAGGGGGGGGAAGGGGACCGAGGGTCCCCGAGTTGGCCTGAGAGCCGCCCCCGGGGGGGGAAGGGGACCGAGGGTCCCCGAGTTGGCCTGAGAGCCGCCCCCAGGGGGGGGAAGGGCACCGAGGGTTCCGAGGTCGGCCTGAGAGCCGTTCCCCATGGGGCAAAGGGGGCCAAGATCCGGGGGTAGGTACCTACTACGGTACACTGGCCAGAGAAGCCACTTTCTGAGAAAGGGGGGATGTGCGTACTAAAGCTGAGATGTGGAAAACCCTAACTATGTAATGTGTTTGTTGATATGTAGATATTTTTGGCTATTTGTTTACGATGGTATGACTATAGTGGAAAAAAAAAAAAGAGCTTTTCCTGCCTCAACAGGATGTTGAAGCCACAAGTCAGATTGGTAGAGTGCAACTACCGGTAGCAAGGACGGGTACGGTATTGGATCTGGTTGTATCACTCCCCCACCCACGCTGGACACACCCAAATGAGGGAGGAGGAAAGGGAGTGTATTTCCACCATTATTCTCCCCTATCTTGTTCTGTCACACCGGACAGGATACCGTATGGGAAAGTAACGCAGTTACAGAATCTCAACGCACCTTGCATTCCATTGCCGGTGATTGTTCGCGCTTCAACAATATTTGTGTTGATGGAGCTACTGGACTGCCGTAACATGGTGTGGCAGGGCAGCCAAGGCAAATCTTGTTGCCTTTTATTGATTGGCCGTCATAATACGGTATCGGTTAGAGATGAGCAACCAATGGGCCAAAAGATGAGCAACCGATGGGCCAAGAGATGAGCAACCGACAGGCCAAGGGATGAGCAATCAATCGACCAAGGGATGAGCAACCGATGAACCAAGAAAAGAGCAACCGACGGGCCAAGCGATGAGCAACCGATAGGCCAAGAGAGCAACCGACAGGCCAAGAGATGAGCAACCGAAGGGCAAAGAGATAGCAACCGGCGGGCCAAGAGATGAGCAACCGACAGGCCAAGGGATGAGCAACTGATGGGCCACGCGATGAGCAACTCATGGGCCAAGCGATGAGCAACGGACGAGCCAAGCGTGAGCAAATGACGGGTCAAGCGAGGAGCAACCAACGGGCCAAGCGATGAGCAATCGACCGGCCAAGGGATTCGCAACCGACCAGCCAAGAGATGAGCAATCGACAGGCCAAGAGCTGAGCAACCGATGGGCCGAGCGACGGGCAACCGACGGGCCAAGGTACGAGTAACCGACGGGTCAAGAGATGAGCAACTGACGGGCCGAGCAATGAGCAACATATGGGCCGACGATGAGCAATCGATGGGCCAAGCGATGAGCGACCGATGGGCCAAGCGATGAGCAACCGATGGGCCGAGCGACGGGCAACCGACGGGCCAAGGTACGAGCAACCGACGGGCCAAGAGATGAGCGACTGACGGGCCAAGGTACGAGCAACCGACGGGCCAAGAGATGAGCGACTGACGGGCCGAGCAATGAGCAACATATGGGCCGACGATGAGCAATCGAGGGGCCAAGCGACGAGCAACCGACGGGCCAAGAGATGAGCAACCAATGTGCCGAGAGATGGGCAATTGATGGGCTAGTAACCAGCGATTGGAGGCATTTCCTCAAGCTCTCTTACAATACGTATTGTTATGCGACATTCCTTTTACGAACTAGTAGCTCTTTGGATCTACAAATCTTGCAAACGAGGCATGCCGCACCGCCCTGGTCGGCGTAGTCGGCCGCTCCACCACGATTATATACGATTCTGGGCCCTTTCGTTACTATATCTTACGGGTGCAATAGCAACTACGACAGGTTACTTATTACGCGCCTGCATCTGTGACTTATGCGCCTTCATTCATACAAGGTCATGATGCACCCTGGACAGATTTGCAATGTATCGTATTGCAAAAATCTGCTACGACGTTGTTTAGCTTTGTATGTCAAGCCCACCACCACCGCATCAGTTATTGACGTAGCCAAATGGCACCCTTTCCTCAAAATCTGGTCAGTCACCCCCAGTTTCACGACTGCTATCAGCTAATGACCCTACACCTCCATGTTCTCCAACGAACATGGTAATAGCGGCATCAGTCTTCACGCAACACTGGCAACTTAATGAATGAAAGATGGGCCGTCTTCAACAACCACCTCCTCCACCTCACGTGCCAGCGCGCCAGCACAAAGTCACTTCACATCACAGTCTTCCACTCCACCGACAACCATCGGCACAGACGTATACCTCAAGGAAGGAGCAACTCGCATAACCTCGTCGTCGGGGAGCGCAACGTCCGTCATTGACAGTCGATCTCACTGGACATCGCTATCAATTAGCTCCGCCATCCACACTTCGTACGCGGACGCACATGTCTCAGAAGACCCAATTGAAATGAAGCACGTTGCCTTGCAAAAAGCAGAAAGCAAGCTTTCTAAATATGAAATTTTTTGAAATTGTGAAACACTTTCTAAAAATGATTATTTTGAAAGCGCAGCTGACTGTAGTGAAGCAAGGCAACTGCAAATGCAAATTTCCGAGTACATAACGAGGGTTGGAGGCCATTTGGCCTCCACCCACGTCTTCATTTCGGAACTTTACAATTCCGCTTCCCCCCCACCCGCCCCTAGTTGATCTCTATGTATTGTTTTAGTTGGACGAGAATGTTGTAATTACCCAATTGAAATGAAGCACGTTGCCTTGCCATTGAAATGAAGCACGTTGCCTTGCAAAAAGCAGAAAGCAAGCTTTCTAAATACATCAAATTAAACAATAATGTATACAGATTGAAGGGTATTAAGTCAACAAATTGAGATCCTAAACCAAAAACGGTTCCAGTAAAACATGGCAGCTTGAACAGCGAATCATGCGATTGACACTTCAAACAAATAGCCACAGGAACACAGAAAATGACAAATAATCCTATCTCGTTAGAATACAAGACAGTGAATGTACTGACAGGATGGCTGGTTACAGCATGTCAATCCTGCATCATAAAAAAAATAAATCGCCATAAAGTTTAAAGCCAGCAGCTAAAATAGTGACCCCCCCCCTTCTAGTGGGTCCACTAGAAAACTCAAACTAACTTTGTAAAGGTTTTGACGGTCGAAGTGTTGTTTTGTTTTGTTTCCCAAACGCGTTCAAACTATTCACACGATTTTGCACAAAAAACGTCGCAAGCATGCGTCGCAAGTTGGCGACGTGCAAATCTCTCAATCACATGAGGGGGCCAATTTCAAGTGTTGCATGCGCAATTCACGCACAACAAACGCCATAGACATGTGCCTGCTGGGGCGGCAAAAATGGCATAGGAAAAGCAGAACTGCAGGAGAAAAACAGAGGGTTTCGGGTTAGAGATAAAAAAAGGAATAGGGAGAACGAAACGTGGACGCACGGAGAGCGCTGATACAGCGAAACGTGCGGAACGGTAGGGTGTTGGGAGATGGGAGGGGAAAAACAAGGGGCGACTTGCAGGCATTTCGGGCCGAGCGCGAAAGCGCCGAGGTGGGTGACGGGAGGGGAGAGAGGAAAGGTGACGACTGCATCGAGGGCAACGTGAGAGGAGGGGAGAGAGGATAGGAATCGGGAGAGAGCAAGGGCGCCGGGAGAGAGAAAGGGCGACGGGGGAGAGGATAGGCGACGGGAGAGAGGAAGGGTAACGGGAGGGTGGAAGGGCAACGAGAGAGAAAAAGGGCAACGGGAGAGAGAAAGGGCAACGGGAGAGAGAACACGCGACGGGAGAGAGAAATGGCGACGCAGAGAGAGCAAGGGCGACGGAGAGAGAGCAGGGGCGACGGAGAGAGGGCAAGGGCGACGGAGAGAGAGCAAGGGCGACGGAGAGAAATCAAGGGCGACGGAGAGAGAGCAAGGGCGACGGAGAGAGAGCAAGGGCGATGGAGAGAGAGCATGGGCTACGGAGAGAGAGCAAGGGCGACGGGAGGGAGTTTCGGGGAGTTGGCGAGGGCGACGAGGGGAGCGACGGGATGGGAGAGAGGTGGGCGACGGGAGGGAGTTTTGAGGCGTTTGAAACGGGGGACGAGGGGAGCGATGGGATGGGAGAGAGGATGCGCGACGGGAGGGAGTTTCGGGGCGTTGGCGAGGGCGACGAGGGGAGCGACGGGATGGGAGAGAGGATGCGCGTACGGAGGGAGTTTCGGGGCGTTGGCGAGGGCGACGAGGGGAGCGACGAGATGGGAGAGGGGTGGGCGACGGGAGGGAGTTTCGAGGCGTTGGCGAGGGCGACGAGGGGAGCGACGGGATGGGAGAGAGGTGGGCGACGGGAGGGAGTTTTGATTCGTTGGCGAGGGCGACGAGGGGGGCGATGGGATGGGAGAGAGGATGCGCGACGGGAGGGAGTTTCGAGGCGTTGGCGAGGGCGACGAGGGGAGCGACGGGATGGGAGAGAGGTGGGCGACGGGAGGGAGTTTTGATTCGTTGGCGAGGGCGACGAGGGGGGCGATGGGATGGGAGAGAGGATGCGCGACGGGAGGGAGTTTCGGGGCATTGGCGAGGGCGACGAGGGGAGCTACGGGATGGGAGAGAGGTGGGCGACAGGATGGGCGACGACGAGCGCAACGGAATGGGAGGACGACGGGACGGCAGAATGGGCGGGTGGCTGGACGGAGAGCAAGGGCTATGGGGGGGAAGAAGTGATCGCGTGGGTAGGAAGGCGAGAGGAGATCGCGTGAGCGACGGGACGGAAGAACGCGAGCGCAAAAGGACGGACTCGAAAGCTTACACTCATAGCTTTCGGATACAACACGACGGACAATCTGATTAATACAAGTCGAGATAACGAGGGCCTAAGTCTAGACATAGCCTATGCCTAGCCTAGCTACTTCTAACTAGCGACGCAAAATTGGTAGTACTTCACCCCATCCCAACTTGAAACATGAGCTGGGCCAAATCGCTTGGACATACCGAAACGATCGCCTATGCAATTGTCGTGCGAAATGAGAAATGCGACGCCAACATCCCCAGAATGTTTTACTTTTGTCGGGAACCAATCAGAGGTGTTCGATTTGCACGTCCGCAGCGTTTGAAACGGTACAAACTTGTCAGTCCGGTCCAAATTTTGTTTCGCCCGGCAAGGTCGTCCCTGCGCTCTTTCAAGTTGGGTTTGGGTTCACTATTTTGCGCTTAGCTGCAACTGCAAACACCAACAAACACAAAAGCATTAGAGGTTTCCTTCCTCGTTATTTGAGATATCAATGTAACCTGTCAAGGGGCGCCTTCAATAGTTTGGTGACAACAAAGCACAGGGGACATACAAATTTAGATGAAAATGTTGACATACCTTGATTGCCATCATCTCATCATTCTGACCGCCACATCACACTCCCTCACCTCGCCGTCGCCTCCGCCAAACCCCCCGAAATCCGCGCTGCTTTCGTCGCCAGTGGAGCCGCGATCGCCCACAGGCAGCATCATACTCCCCAAGTGTCCATTGCAACCCGAACCAGTTGCGGCATGTAGCTCCGCAAAGCTAAACTCGCAGCGTGGGGTGAAGGGGAAAACCGCGGGGCCTGCGCGGGGCGATGGAATGGAGAAGCGGGAAAATAAGATGTTATTAGAGGGGTAGCAGATGCGTAACACTCATTCTAAGCAATGGACAAGATCGAGGGCGAATAGAATGAGAATTGTAAGGGAGTTAATTGACAATAACGAAACAATGGCAGACACAAAAGTGGTACACGTTTTACAGAATGGGCAATGGCAGAAGGTTCTAGTTAAAGCCCAAGGTCAACATGGTTTTTGGCGAATTTTCTGTAGGGCTTTAAATGTGTTGGCGAAAAGCATAAAAAAAACATTTCGAGAATATGGGCGGGGCGAAAGCGAGATTAGGCTGCGAAGAGATTGGGAAGTCGTCACTCATCGGTATGAGTGTGCGACAAACCAACCCAACCAAACCAACCAAGTGAGTTACCTCACCAGTCTTGTTAGTAGTAGTCAGAAAACTTCCCGACAGTCAGAAACCGCCGCATAAACTACGCAGATTTTAGGAACTCCACCCGCGTATACACAAAGTTGTTGTGCCTCGCCTCCCGTCGTTGCGTCTCCCCTCGCCGCACCCCCTGTCCCATCGTCACGCCTCCCGGATTTAGGGTACCCTCGTTTTTGGGAGCCTCCCCTCGTCGCGCCTCCGCTCGCCTGGCCGCCCCTCTGCTTGCCTCACCGCGCCTCCGCTCCCCTCGTCGCACCTACGTTCGCCTCCCCTTGCCTCCGCTCTCCTCGCCGCGCCTCCGCTCTCCTCGCCGCGCCTCCGCTCTCCTCGCCGCACATCCCCTGCCATCAGCGCGCCAACACCCTCGTCGCGCTGCCCCTCCTCGCGCCTCCACTCCCGCTGCCCTTCTCCCACTTGCCCATCCCCTTGCCCTCGCTTCCCTGCCTTTCCATTCCCTCTTGTTACCTTACCCTCGATTCCCTCTGCTTCCCCTCATTCCCCGTCTCCTTCCCCTCATTCCCCCCTCTTCTTCCCTCGTTTACTCCCCTGCTTCCTCTCGTTTTCCCCTCAGCTCCCCCTGGTTTCTCCCCTGCTTCCCCTCCTTCCCGCCTCCGCTTCTACTCATTCCCCCCTCCTCTTCTCCTCATTCCCCTTCCGCTTCTCCTCATTCCCCTTCCGCTTCTCCTCATTCCCCCCTCCGCTCCCCTTGTTTTCCCCTCTGCTTCTCCTCATTCCACCCTCCGTTTCTCCTCATCCCCCCCCCCCCGCTTCTCCTCATTACTACCCCCGCTTCTCCTCATTCCCCCCTCCGCTTCTCCTCATTCCCTCCCCCGCTTCTCCACATTCCCCCCTCCGCTTCTCCTCAATCCCCCCTCCGCTTCTCCTCATTCCCTCCCCCGCTTCTCCTCATTCCCCCCTCCGCTCCCCTTGTTTTCCCCTCTGCTTCTCCTCATTCCACCCTCCGTTTCTCCTCATCCCCCCCTCCGCTTCTCCTCATTCCCCCCTCCGCTTCTCCACATTCCCTCCCCCGCTTCTCCTCATTCCCCCCTCCGCTTCTCCTCATTCCACCCTCCGCTTCTCCTCATTCCCCCCTCCGCTTCTCCTCATTCCCCCTCCGCTTCTCCTCATTCCCTCCCCCGCTTCTCCTCATTCTCCCCTCCGCTCCCCTTGTTTTCCCCTCTGCTTCCCCCTGGGACTTCACATTCTCTCTGTGCTTCTCTGTCCCCTGGTCCCCCATGCGCAACCCTGTGCCCAACAAGGGGTGGACGATGCAGGCCGCTTGCTGTGTCTCTTGGTACCTTAATAGACTGCCCCTCACCCTCACCCTGCGCCCGCTGTGCCCCCTCTGTCCCCTCGGCCTCCCCATGCCTTCCCATGCCTTCCCATGCCTCCCCATGCCTTCCCATGCCTCCCCATGCCTTCCCATGCCTTCCCTCACCCTCGCTTACCCAAACTCACCCTCGCTTACCCAAACTCACCCTCGCTCACCCAAACTCACCCTCGCTCACCCAAACTCACCCTCGCTCACCCAAAACTATCCTACAGCTGTTTGAAAGTATTGCTTCTACTCTCACGTTCCCTCCCTCCCACTGCATGCCACAGGGAGGTGGTGGTGGTGATGGTGCTGCAGAGAGGCAAGGGCGTAGAGGTTGGTAGGGCTGAAGTTGAGAGAGACAGTGGAGGGCGCGGTGGGAGAGTAGGGCCTGTGAGAGACACGCACTGCTCTCACAGCTCACCTGCCCCTTGCAATGTACCGCTGGCACCGGATGAGCCTGCCTCTCTACCTGCTGCCATGGCCCACGCGGGGGTGGTGTCAGACAGTGCGGGGCAGACACAGGGCTGCTGTGAGTGCGAATGCTCGTACCATGCTTGCTCCTACTAGACTAGCTCGTACATGCGTGCTCGTACCATGCTTGCTCCTACTAGACTAGCTCGTACATGCGTGCTCGTACCATGCTTGCTCCTACTAGACTAGCTCGTACATGCGTGCTCGTACCATGCTTGCTCCTACTAGACTAGCTCGTACATGCGTGCTCGTACCATGCTTGCTCCTACTAGACTAGCTCGTACATGCGTGCTCGTACCATGCTTGCTCCTACTAGACTAGCTCGTACATGCGTGCTCGTACCATGCTTGCTCCTACTAGACTAGCTCGTACATGCGTGCTCGTACCATGCTTGCTCCTACTAGACTAGCTCGTACATGCGTGCTCGTACCATGCTTGCTCCTACTAGACTAGCTCGTACATGCGTGCTCGTACCATGCTTGCTCCTACTAGACTAGCTCGTACATGCATGCTCGTACCATGCTTGCTCCTACTAGACTAGCTCGTACATGCGTGCTCGTACCATGCTTGCTCCTACTAGACTAGCTCGTACATGCGTGCTCGTACCATGCTTGCTCCTACTAGACTAGCTCGTACATGCGTGCTCGTACCATGCTTGCTCCTACTAGACTAGCTCGTACATGCATGCTCGTACCATGCTTGCTCCTACTAGACTAGCTCGTACATGCGTGCTCGTACCATGCTTGCTCCTACTAGACTAGCTCGTACATGCGTGCTCGTACCATGCTTGCTCCTACTAGACTAGCTCGTACATGCGTGCTCGTACCATGCTTGCTCCTACTAGACTAGCTCGTACATGCGTGCTCGTACCATGCTTGCTCCTACTAGACTAGCTCGTACATGCGTGCTCGTACCATGCTTGCTCCTACTAGACTAGCTCGTACATGCGTGCTCGTACCATGCTTGCTCCTACTAGACTAGCTCGTACATGCGTGCTCGTACCATGCTTGCTCCTACTAGACTAGCTCGTACATGCGTGCTCGTACCATGCTTGCTCCTACTAGACTAGCTCGTACATGCGTGCTCGTACCATGCTTGCTCCTACTAGACTAGCTCGTACATGCGTGCTCGTACCATGCTTGCTCCTACTAGACTAGCTCGTACATGCGTGCTCGTACCATGCTTGCTCCTACTAGACTAGCTCGTACATGCATGCTCGTACCATGCTTGCTCCTACTAGACTAGCTCGTACATGCGTGCTCGTACCATGCTTGCTCCTACTAGGCTAGCTCGTACATGCGTGCTCGTACCATGCTTGCTCCTACTAGACTAGCTCGTACATGCGTGCTCGTACCATGCTTGCTCCTACTAGACTAGCTCGTACATGCGTGCTCGTACCATGCTTGCTCCTACTAGACTAGCTCGTACATGCGTGCTCGTACCATGCTTGCTCCTACTAGACTAGCTCGTACATGCGTGCTCGTACCATGCTTGCTCCTACTAGGCTAGCTCGTACATGCGTGCTCGTACCATGCTTGCTCCTACTAGACTAGCTCGTACATGCGTGCTCGTACCATGCTTGCTCCTACTAGACTAGCTCGTACATGCGTGCTCGTACCATGCTTGCTCGTACCATGCAGGGAAAGGGACATGGGGAAGCAGGGGAGGGGACATGGGGAAGCAGGGAAGGGGATGGGGGAATAAAACGGAAGGGGATGGGGGGAAGAAGGGAAGGGGATGGGGGGAATCAGGGAAAGGGACATGGGGACGCAGGGAAGGGGATGGGGGAAAGCATGGAAGGGCGTGGGGGAAAGCAGGGACGGGGACATGGGGGGAAGCAGAGAAGGGACACGGGGGAAGCAGGGAAGGGGACATGGGAAAGCAGGGGAGGGGATGGGGGAACATAAGGGAAGGGGATGGGGGGAAAAAGGGAAGGGGATAGGGGGAAGCATGGAAGGGCGTGGGGGGAAGCAGGGACGGGGACATGGGGGGAAGCAGGGAAGGGGATGGGGGGAAGCATGGAAGGGCGTGGGGGGAAGCAGGGACGGGGATGGGGGGAAGAAGAAAAGGGGATGGTGGGCAGCTGGGAAAGGGACATGGGGAAGCAGGGAAGGGGATGGGGGGAAGCAGGAAAGGGACACGGGGAAGCAGGGAAGGGGATGGGGGGAAGAAGGGAATAGGGGATGGGGGGGAGCAGGGAAAGGGAAATGGGGAAGCAGGGAGGGGGATGGGGGAATATAAGGGAAGGGGATGGGGGGAAGAAGGGAATAGGGGATGGGGGGGAGCAGGGAAAGGGACACGGGGAAGCAGGGAAGGGGATGGGGGGAAGCAGGGAAGGGGATGGGGGGGTTTGGGGAAGGGGACAAAGGGGAATGAGAGAGGTAAGCGGTGTGGAGGTGGAAGGCGATCATTAGGGTAAGCGCTACTGTGTGTGTGGGTTGGAAAGGGGGCGTGACTGGTCCAAATGAGTTGGGGAAGGGAGGGTGACGGGCGGAAGGGAGGGTGACGGGCGGAAGGGAGGGTGACGGGCGGAAGGGAGGGTGACGGGCGGAAGGGAGGGTGACGGGCGGAAGGGAGGGTGACGGGCGGAAGGGATGGTGACGGGCGGAAGGGATGGTGACGGGCGGAAGGGATGGTGACGGGCGGAAGGGATGGTGACGGGCGGAAGGGATGGCGACGGCGGAAGGGAGGGTGACGGGCGGAAGGGATGGCGACGGCGGAAGGGAGGGTGACGGGCGGAAGGCATGGCGACGGCGGAAAGGAGGGTGACGGGCGGAAGGGATGGCGACGGCGGAAGGGAGGGTGACGGGCGGAAGGGATGGCGACGGCGGAAGGGAGGGTGACGGGCGGAAGGGATGGCGACGGCGGAAGGGAGGGTGACGGGCGGAAGGGATGGCGACGGCGGAAGGGAGGGTGACGGGCGGAAGGCATGGCGACGGCGGAAGTGAGTGCGACGGGCGGAAGGGAAGGTGACAGGCGGAAGGGAGGGCGACGGCGGAAGTGAGTGCGACGGGCGGAAGAGAAGGTGACGGGCGGAAGGGAGGGCGACGGCGGAAGTGAGTGCGACGAGCGCTAGGGAGAGCGACGGGCAGTAGGGCGACGGCGGGAGGGAGTTTGATGGGAGTAAGAGAGTGCGACGGGTGCGTCGAACGTACATGTGAGGCTAGCGCCCGATCCGTGCGCTTGATCCGTCCGTTTCGAACGTAACATGCGAGCTCCATCGACCCTGTAGATTTGGGCGTGACGCATGACGTTTTTCTCTATGCTGGCTAATATTATTTTCGTTGAAGGGGAAAACCGTCAGACTGCTGCAAGGTTCTAGACATCTTGCTGCCATTGTCTAGAAGCGCTATTACGCGCTCTTGTGGTCCCGAAAAGCGGAGCGTACTACGTGTGCTAGATTCAATATGGGTGTATGTAAGTACAACTTGGTTTTCAAGTTTACTGAGGGTGAACAGTGGACCAACTCCACGCAGAATACTTTTTTTTGTCGCTGGCCAATCATGCTTCAGAGTTGTGAAGGAAAGCTGCACTTTGGGTGGTAACCTGGTTTTTGGCGAGT